TCTATGTCAAAAGCTGTAGGAACAAAATTGGTTCTTCATTTTCATGTTACCATAAAGAAATATTGTTTTTCTCTGGCTTAATTTGAACTATTTTCAGATGTAGTGCAGATAAAGAAAAGTCTACATTGTTCTGCTTACTAACTGTCACTATATAAAATTCCCTCTCTGCTAGAAAGGCCCTGGCAGTTTAACCCTCTCCTCATTTTTCTGTGATATTTATAAAAACCATCTGCTAGCTCTGTGCAGCCATTCATACTTCACCAGAAAATAAAAAGGTTTATACAGTTTTGTGAGACAAAATCTCTTCTGCAAAGGGCTGTCGTAAAATGAATGGGATCACCAATTAGGTTGAAATGCTCCAGCCTTTTGGTAGACCAGATAAATCTGTTATTTTAAGGATCTTCTAGGCCACTGTCTCAGAAGCCATTAGAGGATACAGCAGCTGTTTAATAAAGCCCATTTATGTCCATAATAACCTCTAACAGGTTTGCACACAATACAGAAAGAAGAAAACATTGCTTAGTCTTAATACTACAAGTAAAACAATTTGAGAAACAATAACCAAAAAGTATCCTTCCTTACATATCAAACAGGATGATTTATTTTGCTAGATTGCTAGTGAAGAGAAATTGCCAGCATTTTTCTCATCATTGGTCACCATTCACCAAACATTGCTTTGTTAAAATGTTTCTATTAACTAACATGAATAATAGTATAGCCAGTCTTCATTTAAGACTAAAAATCAAAACAAAACAACAAGTGAGCGTGGCCCCTCTCTCGGGAGAAAGGAAGTCACAGACAGGAAGAATGACAGAGAGGCTTGCTGAGTTAGGCTGCCCTGGAAATAGGACTGCCATGCTTCACAAATTGCAGCCTTCATGAGGATTCCTGTTTTCCAAATGCCTCATCCACCGACACGTTTTCAGCCTAACATTTGTCAAACCTCTCCTTTTGTTAAGAGTTAACTTGTCAGCTTGCACAATGGCTTGTGGCTTGTATCCACCTTCCTTGACAGAAATGAGAAAAGTGTGAGTTACTCCCTTTCACAAAGAATCTCGTCAAGGATCCTGACTCCAATCTGACTTCTCCTCCTAGGGGGAAAAAAATCTATCTTCTGAAAACTTACCACGTGGTGACTATTCTATCATAATTGTGCTGCACAGAAATAAAAGAGGTCATAGAGAGATGAGGACTATCCAATAATGAGTTAAGAGGTGTCTGTATCACTCTACAGCAGCCTGAAAACAGTAATGTGCTTGTAGAGCTTGACCCTCAACCACCCAACCAAGCAAGTTACTTTGCTTTAACAGAGGGAGTAACTCATAATGAACGGGCAATGCTGTGACTCCAGCCAGTAAGTTCCCTTGGCTGATAGTACGATAAATGAGCAGAGTAATCTCCACTTGAGAAATGACGAGGATATTATGATGAATGCCCAAAATGTACTCCAAAGAACCAACTCCCAAGGAACTATACCACAACATGCTCCCAGCCACTCCTACCCACATCTCCTCTAGCTTAACTACACAAGTTCATCTCCACATCAAGTTCAATCACCTCACAGTGTTTAAACTTTTCCTCAACACTAACTCCACTGTTTTGTTTCAGATGTCCACGCCTCCTCTTGGAGTCCATTAGAACCTGGAAATCACATAATCCATCTTCTCTGACAGTTGCTACTCTAGACTCAGAAAGCCTCTGAGGATGTGCTTAGAACACGAAGGTCACTGTGAAAGTCAACTACAGACAGGAACAAAAATGAAACATGCTAGTAAGTTCTTTACTACTTTTATTTAACTAATTAGAGGCCCGGCGCACGAAACTCATGCACAGGTATGGTCCCTAGGCCTGCAATCAGGGCCATCTTCCTTGGCTGCCTGTAGCCGGCCCCGCCCCCCGCCCCCTGCCACCACCCACCCCTGGCTCCCCATTCACCATCGGGCGATCGGAGCCTGCCAGCCAGGAAAAGGGACCAAAGGTGGTCAGTGCACCTCATAGAGACTGGTCAAGAGGTCGTTCTGGTCATTCCACCATTAGGGTCAATTTGCATACTACCCTTTTATTATATAGGATGGGTCAATTCGTCAGAACAAAATTTTTTTAAAGGAAGTAGATTCACTAGTATTTTCAGTGCCCAGACAAAATTTAAAATATGCTATCATATAATCTGAAGATCTACATAATAAAAAAAGGAAATTCTATTGGATGGAGGTGTTTATGGTTTTATAAAGACAAAGGAGTGAAGATTGGAAACCACAAGGTTTAGACTAGAGTTATGACTAAGGTACTGAATGTAAAATTTGCTTTTTTAAAAAAAATTATGAGTATAATGAATACATTGCCTTTTTGAAGGTCACTACAAGTACAACTTTTAAAAAGTAGCCAAGTACCTGATAATTACATAATATTTTTTTCAGATAGTTGAAAAGGATACTAAAAGTCCTCTAATTATGAAGTGGCTGTTAAGAACATTAAAAAGTTCAGTGGGGTTCTAGTTACATGACAATACACTTTTTTTATTTATTTAAAAAAACTTGAATTTTAAAAATCAATGTAATTAATATACATTAATAGCTGTATACATACTATATTCATATAAAAGACGAGCTTAAATTTAAAAATGGTATTTTTATACAAGTATTTTTAAAAGACTAAGATTCTGATTAGTGTCTTAGCTACTAGTCCACGTGTCTGGCTGGTACATTTGATAAAGGAGTGAAGATAACTACGGAAGAATGAGTGAAGAACAGAAAGGCTGAAATGCAGGAAGTGGTAGGAAGTGGTCAACATTCTCCTTCCCCAGGAGAGAAGAGATGATCTCTCCGGGCTCCAAAGACCAGCCCTTGAGTTCACCACAAGTGCTTTCTCCCAGCAGAGGCTCACAGACTCCTCTAAAAAGCAGTGAGTGGGGTACAAACTGGTCCTCCTAAAAATGGGACAATGACTCTCCTAAGCTTATTTAAGCTTTTTAATACAGATTTAACTGTATAAAAGATAATATAATTCTTCATGAGGAAATCAAATACAGAAAGGCATGCTAATGGGCAAATTGCTTAGATGACTCCAATTCCCAAATATAGGATACCAGTAATAGAGATAAGAATATACATACATCAAACTGGTTATTGATTAAAATGCTGTGTCATATAGTCCCTGTCAAATAACATACCAATGAACTCAATCAAAGAAACATGCCTCTCATTCATCCAGAATCCTAACCATCATCAATAAATAGAATTAGTCATCTAATAGTGACTAATTGCCCAATAATGACTGAGGTAATATAAAATTAACAAATTCACAACTTAATCTTTTAAAATGAAATTAGATGCATTTTATGTGCAATATATTTTAATTCTCTGTAAATTATAAATTAAAGTATGGTAAAATAAAATAAAAATGGTTAACCAAAATAATAAACAGTATTTTCCCCAATTCTGGTTTAACAGGAGCTCATTTGTGTACTTTGTTATAAGTTAAAATATATATAATGATTTTCTAAAATGATTCCCTACAAACCAATTAGAAGTAGACTCCCATTTACTAACAAAAATTAAACCTCTACCTCAAACCAATGATGGCAATGATTAACAATTTAAGAGGAATAAAATGAACAATAATCTTCTAATTTGCAATTACATTTTCACACATTTTCATAACTAATTAAACCAATTTCCAAGGATGAGCTATATTCATATTTAAAGAAACTATATATCTATATATTACACATAACTTGTGGCTTGTGAAACATAACACACATCCTATACTTCTCTCATTTTACTCTAATGGTAAGTCTTAAAATATATTGTCAACGTCATAAAAAATCTAAACCATGATTTAAGCTTCTTCCATATATGAAGATATGCTATCATTTGGGCAATTTTAGTCTATTTAGTTTTAATGTCATTGTTCTTTAGAGCTCATCTTCTCTGTGATTCTGTCACATAGGAAATATGAGTGAACTAAGCCCTGGCTTATGTGACCAGGAGCATGGTGTCCGGGGAAGAGGCTGCAGGACCACAGCTGGCCATTTATAAACAGGGAGCCTGCCCTGTCAGTCAGCACTGCCCCGTGGTCCACACTGAGTGTGGGGCATTTTTCTTATACAAAATAAAAAAAAAGAGAGACTCCCACCTGAACGTGACCTTCAATGATCCTCTAATTTTTCTCTAATATTTGGAATGTTAAATTCTCAAATGTTGGTAACAAACTCAAAACAGATTAAATTTGACTGTGGATTTTTATGTCTTTTGCATTTGCTTAAAACTAGAGATGACTAGACTTCAGTATTAGGGGGCCACTGAAGCATAAGATAAATGATTATCTCAATATGGGGTGGAGGTGGGATGAGGGGAAATAATGACAGAAAATGTAACAGAGCAGATGGGGCCAAGAGAGTTCCTTCCAACCAGGACACACTGGGGAAGGAAGGTAAAACCAGCCGGGTTTTAGGGTGGGCTCCTCACAATCTCCTTTGACCTGAGGTGAAGAGTTGAGGGATTCTGATGCTGTGACTTGAGCTAGCTGACTCCTCCTCCTTTTTCTGCTCTTCCTTCCTTTTTCTCTTAGAGATAATACCATCTCACCAGAGTGGAAGCTTCTCTAGAATAGAATGGTGTGTTCTAGTATTCTCTACTCAGTTATAAACAAACTGCTTAACAATGTTGTTCATAATAGCTGTTATTCTTTGCATTCAAAGGAGAAAAAAAAGTATGTTCTGATCTTAATGTGTCTGACCAATTTCCTTAGTGTCATGAATATTCAACTAATAACTTAAATTTTCTAAACAAACTTGCTATAAATTCCCTTTGATAAAATCAATTAAAATAATCTTATCACTACAAGATAATTACTACATGTGGTTATTAATAAAACATGTAAAAATGCTACGAACTAACTGCCACCAAGACGACAATGTCACATGATAGTCTTAAAATGACATAATTACAAATACTATAAAACCACAGTGTATTACTTTGGAAAACAACCAGTCTACTTACTACTTATACGTCTCTGAGCGGATATATTCAAAAACGTGGGACACTCCAAGCTGGAACTGGTCAGCAATTGGGGTAACCCAAGGATTGTTCTCTGCTTTGAATACCTGCTTCTGACCAGTCAGATCCAAGTTTCCTGAAAAAGAAGGAGAAGAAAAAGATGAAGGTCCTTTCATCCTACAGGGATCAGGACTAAGAAGTCCTGCGCAGTAACCACAGCACAATCCTAAGTACCTTTTGGTTCACTTGATTTATTTTTAAAAATTTCTTACCCCAAGTCATCACTGATACACAAGTAATTAGTACCATAGACCAAGAAATGAAGAACAAAGGAAAGAAGGAGGGAGAGAGGGAGTGGAGGGAAGGAAGTAGGAAGAAGGTAAACCTGGAAGGAATTCTCACATAGGTAGTATATGCTTTATTTTTCCTAGGTATTTGCTACAGAGACTAAAATGACCCCATCCAAAATGAAGAGAAGTGCTATGAGAACCTCCTGAAATTCTGTCTTGACAATGTGAATCACTGCTTGTTCAATCTGATCTAGACCCATCCGATCAACATCACCATTTTTCATCAGCCAAAGAACAATATGAATGAAGAGAGATAAAACTATTGCCCAAGTAAAATTATTATTACATTTCTCAGGTACCATAAAAACATCTCACAATCAGCACCAAATGGATTTCGTTAACATGGTTATGAAACTCACATTTGAATAGTCCTCATCAGTGTACACATTCAAAGCATCTCCTCATTTGACTCGCCAGCAATCTCTGAGTCCACTTATTAACATCACTTTACAGGTGAATAAATAGAAACGTGGGGAAATTGTGTAACAAGATCAGAAAATGACAGTGGGGATGTGAACCTGACTCCTGACTCCAAATCTCATATTCTTTCTATAAAGTCTGGTGAAACTATCAGGTTACATCAGTCTAGATCAGTGATGGCGAACCTTTTGAGCTCGGCGTGTCAGCATTTTGAAAAACCCTAACTTAACTCTGGTGTCGTGTCACATATAGAAATTTTTTGATATTTGCAACCATAGTAAAACAAAGACTTATATTTTTGATATTTATTTTATATATTTAAATGCCATGTAACAAAGAAAAATCAATCAAAAAAATGAGTCCGCATGTCACCTCTGACACGCGTGTCATAGGTTCGCCATCACTGGTCTAGATCAACCAAAGATGAGTTAATGAAGTAGCATCAAAAAGCTAGTAAGTGCCACCATCTGTTGATGATCAGTCGACTATTTTACTTATTTATTGGTATACTGAACCATGGAAAAGGCAGTGTGTGAAAGAGCTTCCGATAACTTGCCTGCTTATGAAAGGGACAAGGAGAGAGAAGCTAAGCAGCAGAGATATATGTGGTTTTACTTGACACCAGCCTCACCAAAGGCCTTTCCCTAAAAGTCCTACTGAGCAAGTCTTTTTCAGACTCCTGATCCACAGTCTAAGGCTTTTTAAACACAGACATCCAGCAATTATTCTTCCCAGGACACAACCAAAGTAACATTATTTGTCCTATTCCAGGGGTACTACTGCAAATTTTGTCATAACTTTGTTATAATTTTGATAATTCAGGATAACGAAAACACATTGTAGGATGCAAGTATACCATGAAGCACAAAATTTCCTAGGCGATCTGACCTTTAGAAATGAAAACAAATTAATATTTTTATGAGGATGATAATATAGTTCTCCTTAAAACAAAAGAACTGATTCTTTGAATCCATATTCTTTTTGTTATATGAACTTGTAACTATTCAAAAAATGGAGAAAGAAAAGACCAATATAAAAGTGATTATAATTTCATAAAATGCTTTTAAAGAAAATAGATACTACTAAATATCAAGAGGGAGCAATTCATCATGATGTTTCCAAAGCTACTTAGAATCTGTTGGTGTTAAGTACAAAAATAAGCAGATACATTTCTCTCCAAGATTGTCAATAATGTCAATTTCCTCATCTTAATGGTTAAACATCATTAGTCAGATATTTAATCATTTGGAAGATTAATGGGCTTTATTCTCTAAACCATGAATCAGAAAACTGCCTAGGGCAAATGAAAATCCAAGAGTTGCACTGAGTCTGTTTAGTTGGGTATCTTACCATCTTTACTTGGGGAGGGGGTTTTTAGAATAAAACTGATCTGCTTAAATTTCTGTATAATTCTTATTTCCTCTTGGAAATTGCTATAGTCTATGTCCTCTCTTCCATATCATTCATTCTCCTATTCTTTTTTTTCCCATTTCCACTTTTCCTAAAAATGAATATAATAGAATTTGCTATAGTCTATGTCCTCTCTTCCATATCATTCATTCTCCTATTCTTTTTTTTCCCATTTCCACTTTTCCTAAAAATGAATATAATAGAAATTTCTGGAAAAGTCTTCCATTTAAAAAATAAGTCTCTTTCTAAAGTGTCCTGTTTTACATGCACAGTGTCTATGTTGCCCACTCTTCTCAGGAAGCATGGTCACTGAGGAGGGCTGTGTACCAGGTGACAGTAAGTGCGCTGCAGCAATTCACTAATAAGTTGGGTGAGGAGGCTCTAGAGATGAGCACAGCTCTCTTAAAACATTCATCTAATTAACAACTTATGCTTACATATGATCATCTTTCTGCTTCTAAAGCCTGCTCACTGACATCAGCATGGAATCAACTATGAAAAATTACTAAGACCTTTGGGAAAATATATGCAATTCAAAGTGAAAAAAGAAAAGAGGCCATGAAAAGCATAAATTGCATAAAGAAATTAACTAATTCCTAAGCAAAGAGGATCTCCTTGTTGGTGACTACCTGTGACCTAAACACCTTTGCTCCTTACCCCCCAAAGTAAGTCATCCTAATGAGAAACACAGTCTAAATTTCCAATAGGTAGAATCGGATCAGCTGCACATGCATCTGGGACTCGCATCATTCACACATTACCATGAATTAACCCAAATGGATGGCTTTCCTCTTAACATCTATTTCAGATGGGGACACGGGAATCGGATTGTTTTACTCTGGGGAAGAAGAGAGGAAAGAGGGAAGACAGCTACATTTGGAACACAGAGCATTCCTCACCATGCTGCATATTCAGGGTCCTGGCTCTGCTGAGAGCAACAGGACCAGGGAAACACTCTGGGAAGGACCCTACAGACAAGCCTCAGCTAGTCCACATCTGTCCAGGGATGACTTCCAGGGGACAGACAGTGAGAGAGAGAAAGAGGACTCTTCTTTCCCACTCAGGCCCAATAATCCAAAAGTACAGCTGTTATGAGCGATGCAGGTTTTAATTACCCTTGAATTTAAGGTACAGGTGCATATTCCTATGGAAAAGAAGAGCCTGCATTCTACCAAATACCTACATACCCACTTTGGAATGTACACGGCCTCTTGTTAACTTATTAACAGCGTCTGACTAAGCCTGCAGCCTTTTGAGTAATAATCCTCTAAAAATGATGTACTCAATTCTATGCTCCCTGATTGCAACACATGGAAGACAGAGCTAGGGGAATAATGCCAAGAAAGGTCAGCCACGATCTTGGGGCCCTTTTGTCTGACGCCTCTAACCCCCGGAGATCTGTCAATCCCTAGCAATGTCTCTATTAAAGAGCTGTCAATGGAGACAGAGGAGGCGTAGGGGTTGCTAATGACTCCTGCTAACTCCTGGAGCAGGCGGGAAATGCTGGACGCGAGCTGGACACACTCCCTTCAGGCAAAAGGAGTCTTATACTGATGTCTGAAAAGTCAGGGTACACAGAGAGACCCACAGGCTCTTCATGAGCATTTTCAATGGCATCACTTCCAACGCATCTGTAACTCCAGCTGTTTAGTTTAGTCTCAAACAATGCTACATAATCACATTCACAGGGGTTTCTCACAGTGACCAGAAATAGGGAGCCTAATGGAAAAGAATGATTCAGGTTCACTGGGGGAAGAAAAAACCCCAAAACAATAGCTTTGTCGTTGACAGTGTTTTCTTTTTAACAAAGAGCCATGAAAACCATGTTTAATGTCCGTAGCAAACCTTGAAGCAGACTATTCCAGATGACAGAGATGGAAACCGTGTGAGCCTAACCAAGCACTGCCTCTTCAGAGTTATCACTGGCTTGCCTTAATAGGGCATGCTTATTTTGTTTTTCCACTTAATGTCACTGGTGGAGAACACAATACCTGCTTCTGTGCAGCCGTAATCCTCCCAGCCAGCTACCTGTCTCTGGCTTTCCTGCCTCACTCAGCACCAGCCTGGAATGCAGCCATTTCAGAAGAGGGTTAATATAATTAGAGTAAAGCTAGACCATTATACTGTGTGAAAAGATGACACCCGTCTCATATTGGCCTAGCAACAAGTTACCCTTGCCTCAGCAAAGCTCATCTGTCAGCTGTCGGAGGTAAGTTCCCTTTCAAGTAATAACATGCAGGAAGCATCTCACCCCACTGTCAGTCGGGCTGCAATCGCCCGAACGAACGAACGAACGGCTGCACGCTTCAGCGCGTCTAGTTAGGAGCCCTCACCCATCTCCTTTATTAGAAGCCTGAGCGGCGCTCCGGCGCTGTTCTAACAAGGATCAGGCAGCAGGATTAAGCACTGTGACAAAGAGGATCTAATAAGCTAGAAAGTGGTGCATCTACAGCCACGCTGGCTGCCTCCCAAACAGAGATTCCCCCTGCGCACTCTTCAGCGGGATGGCCCGGCCACAGGGGAAGCCAGCCAGCACCGTGATTAGCGATGACCCTCTGACCGACGCTACTATGAAGATCATATATCACTCAGAGGCTTATTCTGCAATTGCAAATTGGATTTTCCATTTTATTACCTGCAGAAGGACCACATATGCTTCAAATACAGTAAGCTTTGCCGTGCGACTGTAATTTTGTAAACACTAAATCATGCAAAACAATCATTCTCCTTGGGAGTTATAAATGTGACTGAATGCACTAGGCAATGGCATTAATAAGCATGCTCATTTTCACTTATAGAAACTGGTTGTTTTCATAACCACATGATTAAGAATTCTCCCTGAGTATTCAAAAATCCTGAAACATATGGCCAGTAACATTACTGATCACATATTAAGCAATTAAGGGTGTCAGGGCAAATTTTTCACATCATCAAAGCAGGAGTCCCTTCCTTCCTA